CAATCAAAATCCATCTTTTGGCTACACTGACTACAAGAAGGATTTACCAAATCACCCTAGCATAGACTTCCCCTTTTCTCCTTAAAAACCCACTCCTGAAGAAACACCTGCTGTGGTCTTTATCTGATTCAGATGCAGCAGCTGTCCCCCGCCCCACCTAGGTTTACTGAAACATTAGATGGTGACAGAGCTGCAAAGTCTGAAGATGCTGTGAACTGGTTGAGCCCATTTTTAATTTTTAAAATTTCTTTTGTTTAAGATTTCCTTCCCTTCCCCCCTTTCTTCCTCTCTCCCTTCCTCCTTTCTTTCCATTTCAAGATAGGGTTTCTATGTATAATAGCCCTGACTCTCCTGAAGCTTGTTCTGTAGATCAGGCCGGCCGTGAACTCACAGAGATCTCTCTACCTCTGCCTCCCGCGAGTCCTGGGATTAAAGGCGTGCACCACCTGGCAAACACTTACCTTTCAGGCTGGATCCTCTGGTTTCTCTTTAGAGTGTATAAATCTTTCGCCTTAATTTTTAAAAAAATTCATTTATTTCTACTCTCTGTGCATTGGTGTTTGGCCTGCACACATGCCTGTGTGAGGGTGTCAAGTCCCCTGGAACTGGAGCTACAGACAGCTGTGAGCCACCATGGGGGTGCTGGGAATTGAACCCGGGTCCTCTGGAAGAGCAGCCAGCACCCTCAACAGCTGAACCATCTCTTTAGCCCCTAATTTTTTTCATAGAATATATTTAATCAAATTTTTCATCTTCCTAGCTCTTCCCTGATCTTCCCCACTTCCCTACCCACTCAACTTCACACTCTTTGTCTCTCAAGACAAAAAAAAAAAGTAAAAAAAAATAAAAAACACACAAAACAATAAAATGCCCAAATTAAGCAAAAGCCTGCAAAAACAAACAACAAACATGGGGGTAGTTTCTATTGGCCACTGTTCCTAGGCATCTCTTAGCTGCTAGGGCAAGAAGATCAGGCTCAATCGCGTGTGCTTGCAGGAAACTTGTGGCTGAAGGGAGGACTCTCCAGGATGGCCAGAGACAGAACAGGCCACAGAACCATCCAGCCCTGCGAAAAGGAGGTGATAGGAGGCCTCAGGGACCCCAGGTCCTTTTGTGAATCCCTTCTGAACCTTCACACACTCAGCCCAGGGGTACCGAGCACCTGCTGAGCCAAGGGAGGTCCCACACAGGGCTCAGGAACACCTCAGAGCATCTTTCAAGGGCACGTGTATTTGCTGTCTGAAACCATTTGTCCCTTCTTGGTGGAAGATTAAAAAAAAAAAAAAAAAAAAAAAAAAAAAAAAAAAAAAAAAAAAAAAAAAAAAAAAAAAAAAAAAAACCACCCAGTGGGGCTGAGGAGATGGTTCAGGTGTAAACTGGCCTTGAAAGTGAAATAGTTTGACTCCTATAATCTCTGTAAGAAGCCAGGCATGGCGGTGTACATGTCTAAGCTCTGAGATAGGCAGATACCTGACAGCAGCCAGTGCAGCCCACTTGTAAGGGTTCTAGTCACCGAGAGACCTTGTCCCTCAACCAAGATGCAGATGACATCTGAGGAAGGACACTCAACGTTGTCCTCCGTCTAATACTCGTGTACACACACAAATACACTGGTGCGCGTGCACACACGCCCCTCTGGAGGCGGCTTCCTAACCAACAAACCTTCTGCCTCCCAACTGTAAAATATATGTGAAGTTTCCTGACATCACTTCCAGTCATCCCCCTCCCCCTCATTTTCCAGGTTCCCACAGGAAAGGGTCAATTCCAGAGCTCGTGCAGCTGCCATTTTGTATGGCGTCTCCAAAACCTGCATTTCTTACTCGACCTTGAGTGTTTTTGCTGGGTAGAGCTGAGAGTCTCAGGTTTAAAGGCAAGGGTCTTAGGAAGTCTGTGGTGGTCTCGGGAGAGGCTAGCTGGCCGCCAACGCACACACCTGTTCGGCAGCGTTTACTGCTCACGTGATAGAAAGACTGTTCTGGTTCTCAGGGCAGGCCTAGCTCCTGCCGTGGTAGGGTGTCTGTGTTAGGGGAAGAAGACGCCATGTCCTTTTTCTTAGAGAACAAGAGAGCTAGGCTGTTCATTTGGCTTCGCATAACACAACTCAAACATGAAGCTAGGAAAGAATCCGTTCAGGAAGGAAACCTCAAGTGAGTGTTCGGTTCTGTAGGTGTTATCAAAAAAGGCCCCCTTTGCCAGGAAGACGGTACAGGCAAATAAGTGTAATGCGGAGCCCAGGTGTGCTCACCCAGGCCCAGGTGCTTAGGAGCCATGCAAACCCTAAGACACGTGCTTTTCTAGTTCCTGGAAACCTGACTCAAAAAGCCCCACACAGAGGAGGAAATACCAACACTCAAGGGCTAGGTGACTGTGGGTTTGCTGAAATCAGGAGGATCACGGGACCACAGTGACGTCAGCAAGGCTCTTCTCTACTCCACTTGTTAGCTGTACTTCAGGGTGACCCAGGAGCCGAGATGCCATCAGCTGAGCTCAGGTCTCTGCTGAGGGGAAGCCAGGGAAGGGCTACATGCTTGCCCTCCTAAGGCAGCAACCTGGTTAGGGAGGGCTGCGGAAATGGTAGTGTGTGATTTTATTTATGGTCACGAAGTCTCTTAAGAACTCGGGCCTCTCATGAATCCTAGGGGGTCTTTCAGACAACAGGCTTTGTAGGAAATTCAGGATACTGTCCCTCAGTGGTTTGGGCAGATGGTCCAGTAGAGGATTCGTCTCAAAGAGGTCTGTGGGAGACACTTTTGTCTGATGGGATGAAGGGCAATAAGACTAATGAGAAACCCAGAGTGTTCAAAATAATTGCTTGAGTAATAACCGCCGTTAGATCCTATTGAAGGAACATGAAACAGGAGGAGGCATCTGGAGCAGGCAGGAAGCAGGCTCAGAACTGGAACTTCACATACGGGCTACCAATCCTGGGACATCAGTGATGCGGTGAGACCAGAGCCAAGGCTCTGGGATGGTCCCCAAGGCCTCCAGGCAACTTCCCTCCCACGTGGAGTAGGACTGATCTTTGCTATCAGTACTGTGGGGAAGATAGTATGTGACACCCAAGGCCCACCTTAGCCTTCTGAATTACCTGTTTTAGAGGACACCAGTAACTACGTCAAGACAACGTTCAGCAGTCATATAGAGATGCACCTGTGACATGGAAGTGAGACCTGCAATGTCATGCAGTGAGCCGTTCAGGAAGCTCCAGACATGATGTCATTTAGAACACATTCTGAAGGGCCCATGGTAGCTCTCAATGACAGGGTACTTGGCTTATGTATCAGGAGCCTCTCCCATGGACATCCCGTGGCACTTCTAGTCTGAAAGTCTATGGGATAGCAGAGCCACTTTTCCCAGAGAGCCCAGAGACAGAATACAAAACACTGTCCTGAGAGCAAAGGCATCCTCCTACCACTTATGGGGAAATTCCTATGATAAAGGCACTCCCAACACTTCCTCCTTTGGGTTCTCAGACAACACCGTGAGATGGGCTACTTTGAAGAAAGGGCCAGTGATGTGGGATTCCCCTCTGTATGCTGTGAATACCATTGGTTAATAAAGAAACTGCCTTAGGCCTGTGCAGGGCAGAATAGAGGTAGGTGGGGAAAACTAAACTGAGTGCTGGGAGAAAGAAGGCGGAGTCAGGGAGAAGCCATGTAGCCTTTCGGGGGGACAGATGCTGGAACTTTACCCAGTAAAGCCACAGCTTCGTGGCAATACACAGATTAATGGAGATGGGTTAATTTAAGATATGAGTTAGCCAGAAATACGCTTAAGCTATTGGCCAAGTATTGTAAATAATATGGTTTCTGTGTGATTATTTTGAGGCTGAGCAGCTGGGAACAAACAAATGGCCTCCTACTACAGGTCAGGGTGGTTAGTCCTATTTCCCAGACACCTATTTCTCCAGGTGCATGCTAAGGACAAATTAACATTGATGATGTGGGTCTCATAGCATCAAGTTCAGGGCATTCCCCAAAGAATCCAGGCTCTATTCAAGGGGACCCAGGCAGCCCCCTTGCTTCTCAAATCCTCCTAGAATAACTGTGTGTGCTAGCCACTGCAGCGACCCACTTCACTACTGCCTTCCTGGAGACGAAACCTTGGCACGGTAAAGATTTTCTTCTTCCTGCTCTGATCCTGGGTAACTGTGCGATACCAACATCTTCCGCAGCGGCCAGACAATGCCGCCATTGTTCCCCATTGGAAGCTGCCTTCAGAGCCCACACCCTCCCCATTAGGCAGCACTGAAGTGGAGTGAGAGTGTGATTTCAGATTTCAAAGCGCAGAGAGCTTGAGCACTGCCCTTAACTGTCAGATCTGAGCCTTGCCCTCTACGTCCCTCCGTTCTCTTGCACTGGAATGTTACAGGCACTGAGCACACACGGCCGCGGCCTCCTAGGGAACACACTCCAGACATTTCAGAGAGTTCAGTAAGAATAGGGCCCTTGAAAGAGAATACTCCTAGGAAAAACTCCTTCGGAAGGACTGTACAGTGACAGTACTGGGAAGTGGTGGCCTGCGTGTGCTGCAGATGTCTAATTTAACCTTCAGAGGGGTCCTGTGCAGCAGGCTGTCTGTCGATCTCTCTGCTTCAACACAAATATGACCCATGGTCACACAGGGAGGGATGGTCTTGTACCATAAACGGCAGGGATTTTAGAGGACCCTAAAACCTATGCTGTGCACAGTCACATCTTCCCTGGAAGTAGCCACTGCCCCCTGAGATTGGTCTGTTAGGGATACAAGCCAAACGTCAGTTTGGGTCGTTCCATATCAGTCTGAATTTCACTGTTTTATGCACAAGCAATGTATGAGGTGAACACGGGTTCCTATTTGAGATATCCAAGTTAGAATTTTTAATCCAACTAATGCCCTTCCCTGGCTCCAGCTAGGGTTCAAGGGCACAGAGACCAAACTTCAAACTTATCTTTGTGTCTTCTTGTCTCCCAACAGGGTCAGTTGGGGCAGAGGAAAGTAATGAATAGTTAATCCAAGAATCCACCTTTTCCCTTTTTTATTAGCATGTATTATATATGACAGTTTCATTAGGACAGTCTCACATTTATAAAGTGTAGCTTGATCATCTTCACCCCTCCCCATACCCTCTTTGGTCCCACTCCCATTGATTTCTTCCCTCTTCCTTCCTAGATTCCATTCTAAACCATCTCTCTCTGTCTCTGTCTGTCTGTCTGTCTGTCTGTCTGTCTGTCTGTGTGTCTCTGTCTCTTTCTGTGTCTGTTTCTCTCTGTCTTCGTCTCTCTCTGTCTCTGTGTGTATGTGTCCCAATGAGTTTTATTAGGACTGCTCACAGGAGCACAGAGCAACTTAGCCACGACTATACCACTAGAGAAAGTCTCTCTCTCTCCTCAGAAACCGCCAGTGGCACTCAGTTCTTCTCCCTCCCATGGAAAAATGGTGACATGCCCTGTCTTGTGCAGTCTAGAAAAGGCAGTCATAGCTACCGTTAGTTCTGAGGACAGAGGTCATGTCACTCTCGGAAGACAGACTCCAAGGCTCCTCCCCTTCTTCCAGACTTTGTATTCTTTCCACTGCTCTCGTGACTGAGTCCCCTGAGACTTAGAGGGGGTGATACAGATGTCCTGTCTGTGGATGAGCATTCAACACTCACCTCTCCTAGGCACTTTGACCGGGTATGAACTGCTGATCACTACAGAGAGAAACTTCTCTGATCCCAGCTAAGAGCAGCCCTAACCTATGGGTATAAACCTAAACCTATAGAAATCAGTTTTATGGGCACAACTTCTCTACCTAGCAGAATAACAGTAGTGGGCCCCACTTGGCTATGACCTTTTTATGAGTTTCTGGACAGGGTTTACAGCACCAGGAGCAACCCCCCTCCCATGGAGCAGGTCTCTAATCCAATTAGGAAGTAGTTGGTTAGTCCCCTAATGGAATGCCACTATTGCACCAAAGGTTACACCCTGCCTGTCATTGGTATTGCAATAGGCACGGTCTATAGCCGAGCTACTGTTCTCCTCCAGCAGTCTGCACAGAACCTTCTGGCACCATGAGATTTAGCAAGCAGTTCCAGCTTGTGCTGCAATTAAGGAGTATGGTGCCTTCTGCAATAGGGCCTTACCATCTAGTTCTTGAGGTCATCCAGGAGCACTGGCAACAGCCAACATTGTTTTGGAAACATTAGGGGCATCTCTGACCAATAGTTCATAAGGAGGTAGCCTATCCCTGGCCATGGGGTTTAAAGATTCATTGTTAAGGAGTAATTTGAAGACCCAGGAGTGGTAGCAAATAATGCGAAACATCTTTAAAAGCCTGCATCCTTGAAAACCACCCCAGAGAGTAGGCTCACCTCCTGCGTGTAGTTTCTCTTCACACTGACAGAACCGTGGAAGGAGGGAGCCAGGTCAGAAGAGATAGCGCCAAGAGTAGGACCAGAATTCCGTCCCACAGAATAAACTCTGAGTCTTGACCTCCAGACCTTCTACCGTGGCCGTGGTCTTTAAACCACTCTACCACCTCCTGCAGGTCAAACACCTGAGGCTCATAGCCTAGCTCTTTCTTGGCTTTCTCTAAGCTGAAGTAATGCGTGACACCCGTTTTATAAACCTCCGTTCGGGTGAGGAAGGGCTGGAAGTTGTAGAACCTGCCCAGAATGAAGTAGGCTATCTCTATTAGGAAAGCAAGGCCGTAGATGAGGGTGAGGGGCAGGCGGGTGGATGGGAATGTGTAGCCTAGGCCCTCAACCAGGGGCCGAAAAAATTCAAAGCTATTCACAGGTCTACCGTCTGAGATGAAGTAGGGCTGCCCAGAGGCAACATGGCCCTTATCAGCTCTCAGAGCCTCGGAGGCCAGGATGTGAGCTTGCACCAGGTTATCCACATGAACAAACTCAGCCAGACTATCGGGATCCCCGTACACAAATCTGAACAGGCCCCTCTCGATGTAACTCACTATCCTGGGAAGGTGTCTTTGCTCTCCCGTCCCATAGATGCCGGCTGACCTTAGTGCACAGGTTCTGAGGACACCATTGCCTTGCTTGAAGGCCGAGCCATTGGCTTCCAGCACCTTCTTCTCTGCAATGGATTTGGTTCGGGAATAGTGATCTGGGTGCCGGTGAAGAGGCAGGTAGGGCAGAGATTCATCCCCGTTTCTGATGACTTGACCTCCGAAGATGACATTGAACGTGCTTGTGTAAACTAACCTGGGCACTCCTCTCTCTAGACAGGCCTGGAGGATGTTGTTGGTACCTCCCACATTGACCTCTTCAATTAGGGTATTGTTCAGTTGCTCCCTCCCAGACATCCCATAAGAGGCGACGTGAAACACACACGCAATCTCATTGTCCTGGAAGGCTGTCTCCACGTCTGAGAGGCAGCGGATGTCTCCACGGACGAACGTGATCCCCTCTGGAAGGTTCTGGGCAGGTTGGCTGATGTCAAACAGAACCACACGGAGTCCTCTCTGGTTCAGAGCACAGCCGAGGCTGAGGCGAGAAAGATCAGGGTTAGGTCAGGCCACCCTCCAGCTGTGTCTAGGGAAAGAGTACGAAATAACTTGCCAGGAAGGTAGAAAATCTTGTTAACTTATCCTGAGTCACTTACCTGTGTATTCATTACTGCAGGTCTCATTTAAATTTTGAAAACAAAACAAAAAAGCAGGAATCCTCTCAACGACGTAAATGACAATGACATCATTGACAATGACACTGTCACAGGTGACAGAATGCCTGCTGTGGTGTAAAAGTGAACCATCTCCCACAGAGTCTTTGGTTCCCAGCTAGTGGCAGTGATGCTGTTTTGGAAGTTTATAGACCCTTAAGAGTTGGAGCCTTGCTGGAGTAAGTGGGCCACCAGAGGGCAGGCCTTGAGGATGATAGACAGACCCAGCTTCCTGTTGGCTTTCTGCTTTTGGGTTTCAGGGGCACAGTCTCACATTCCTCTTTGCGTGTCTTTCCCGCATGGGGCTGTACCCCATTAAACCACAAGTCGCGCTAAACTTTCCTCCCTTACACTGCTTCTTGTCGGGTATCTGGTCACAGTGATGAGGAAAGAAATGAATACGGCTTTTTTTTTTTTAATATCTTTGGTGAAATGAATAATCATCAGGTTTTAAAAATGATTTTTCTTGAGGTGGAATAAACCTGTGCTTTTCAAGTTTCAAGTCTGAGCAGGGAGCACCGGAGTTAACTTTTGGTTTAGCACTATACCAACATGTCAAAGTCCGCGAGAATCGAAAACTATCCAGTCAAATAGTTCCGCGATGATATTTTGTAGGTGAACTTACCGGAAGCCAAAATATCCACTTCCTCCCGTTATGAGTACAGTTTCCTCTGGGTACCTTAGGGAGTCCATACCAGACGGCAAAGGGACAATGGGACCTGCAGGAAGATGCCACAACGTTCTGATCCCGTTTAAACACGTTTCTCCTTTGTTCTGAGCTAACAAGAAGAGAAAGGTGACTGACCTGCTCCTCAGCGGTATCACGTGTACCCAGCATGTGGGAATCTCTGGTGACATAGCCAGCACCGAGAAACCCAAGCCAAAGGACAGAATACGCCCGCGCAGGATACACTTTGAGGCACGTGGCTCCAGTCACACCTGCGCTACTTTAGCTACTCCCTCCCTCCCCCCGCCCCTTTGCTTTTTGGCTTCCAATTCTTCCCCATGTAATATAAACATAGACATGTCTTCCTTGCCTACTTGACAAAGTGAGTGTTAAACAAACAGAGTGTGGGTGCTTTCAAAACCACGAATCCCTTTTGAACAAAAGGCTTTACTCTTGATTTCTGGAACTGATCAGGGCCTTTGGAAAGAATTCACTTAAAAACTGGTTGAGAAAAGGATTTCTTCCTGGCACCAGAAAACCCAAGATAGAGCTCTGCAGAAGTCTCCGGCATCTTCAGCATGCTCTGCTTGAGGTTGGTTTATTAACTCCGTACTTAAAAACAGAGAGAAAAATTCCTTCCTCTATCTAATCACACCCTCCACCCTGGCCATCTTTCCGACGCATCAAGGGAGAGCGCTCAGTGCATTTGACAGGGTGGGAACCTTGCTTCTGTCTCCCTCCTTATCGGTTTACTCTCCCGCAGATTCATCTCAAGGCCCAGGACTACTTCCTTTCTAGAACGTAACAACAGAAATGGGCTAGACGTCTCATTCCACATAGGCGAGAAATGGACCTAGGGGTGCACATGTCTCCTAAGGCATGGGAACAACACAGTCTTCTTTCCCCACTTTCTTCCCCTCCTTCCCTCCCTCTCTCAGTGGGGAGATATTTGGGTATGGTTAGACAGGTGGTCTACAAGTAACCAAGAGTTCAACCAGCGCCCCTTCCCAGCCAGGTGCCCATTCGTGACGTTGACCACTGTATATGCAGATGGTTTTGAACAACAAAGAACACGATCCAGATGTTAGTGGAACAGCGTGGGCTGGGCTGACACAGGAAGAAGGGCACATGCGCAAAGAGCTGTGTGGCATCAGCATGAGCACACAGGTCAAACTAATAATACTAACGACACAAGGTTGGAGGTAGCAGCTGGGGACACCGGGTAGGCGCCTTAGCCTTGAGATGATGGTTTCGTGAGCTTGGCTGAGACGCTTTGCTTTCTCTAAACCTTACTTTGCTGTAAGCTGTGTGCTGTTGTATTTCAGGATGTCTTCATGCTTCTAGAAGAGCAACAGCATATAGCAGAGAGAATGAGGACACAGAGAGACAGGCTGTGGCACTCACCACCAGTGTCACACTGTTCCCTGGGCACTTTATGAGCACATGAACTGCTAAAAAAAACCCGCAACATTATCGCCTCGTGTGCCAGTCGAGAGTAAATAACTCTCCCATGCATACCCAATGGATAGTTGACACTGCGAGCCCATACTCTTAATCTTAACCCCCGAAACACGAACTTTGAGGGAAGAGAACGGTGTCTAGGTTCTCTTTAGTTATATGACTTTAGATCAGTAAATCACTCTGAGCCTGTGCCTTCATCTAAAAAGTTGAGCTGAGGACAAGCTCACAAGTTTATAAAGACAAGATGGGATAATGCAGACAGAATACCCCAAACATACCTCATGGGGCATAGTCACCCCATAGATGTCATTGCTTGTTTCCTTTCTTCCTAGCTCTGATGTGTGTCCATTCTGTCCAGTCATGATTAGAGCTCTCAAGACAAAGGGTTATAGAGGGCAACTTGTCCTAGAAATCTGTGCATCGTGTCTCTAGCCAGTGAGGCTAACAGGATCATTCATGGAAAACGATCACATTTATAGATAAGGCTCCCCAACTGTGTCAGAGGTGCGAGGCAAGAACCATTCAGAGATCTGGGCAAAACAGTGTGGAGGACAGCGGCTGGGTTCCAAGAAGCAAGTGCCACCGTTAGGCTACAAGAAAATTCGTGAAGACCATACATGAGTGAGCACCTCTTTAATATATCAAAGGTGACCTTATAACAGTATGTGCCTAAGAACTTTAAATCTTTGAAGAAAGAAATTGAAGAAGATGCCAGAAAATGGCAAGATCTCTTATGCTCTTGGGTAGGTAGAATTAACATAGTAAAAAATGGCAATCTTACCAAAAGCAATCTACAGATTCAATGCAATGCCCATCAAAATCTCTGCAAAATTCTTCACAGACCTCAAAAGAACAATACTCAACTTCATATGGAAAAAGCAAAAAACTTAGGATAGCCAAAATAATCCTGTACAACAAAGGAACTTGTGGAGGCATCACAATTCCTGACTTCAAACTCTACTACAGAGCTACAGTACTGAAAACAGCCTGGTATTAGCATAAAAATAGACAGGAGGACCAATGGAACCAAATCAAAGACAGGAATATCAATCCACACATCTTTGAACACCTGAATTTTGACAAAGATGTTGAAGTAGGAGTGGCAGGGCTGCGTCCCCGGCACCCGGCTGCCCGCATGGCTAGGTTATGCCCTGAAATAATTACACGGAAACTGTATTTTTTTAAACACTGCCTGACCCATTAGTTCCAGCCTCTTATTGGCTAGCTCTTACATATTGTTCTAACCCATTTCTAATATTCAGTGTAGCCCACGAGGTGGCTTACCAGGGAGGATCTTAACCTGCGTCTGTCTGGAGTGGGAGAATCATGGCGACTCCTCACTCAGCTTCTTTTTCCCAGCATTCTCTTCTGTTTACTCCACCTACCTAATTTTCTGTCCTATGAGGGCCGAGGCAGTTTCTTTATTATTAACCAATGAAAGCAACAGATAAGATACAAGACCCACCTCCATCACAAAGAAGCAAAAAATATAAAATGGAAAAAAGAAAGCATATTCAACAAATGGTGCTGGTATAACTGGCTATCAACATGTAGAAGAACGAAAATAGATCCACATCTATTGCCATGCACAAAACTCAAGTCCATATGGATCAAAGACCTTAACAGAAAACCAACCACACTGAACCTGACAGAAGAGAAAGTGGGAAGTATACTTGAATACATTGGCACAGGAGACCACTTCCTAAATATAACCCCAGTAGTACAGACACCAAGAGAAACAATTAATAAATGGGATCTCCTGAAACTGAGACACTTCTATAAAGCAAAGGACATGGCCAACAAGACAAAACAGCATCCTACAGAATGGCAAAAGATCTTCACTAACCCCACATCGGACAAAGGACTGATCTCCAAAAAAAATACACAAAGAACTCAAGAAATTGGTCATCAAAAGACCAGACCAGATAACCCAATAAAAAATGGGGTACAGACCTAAACAGAGAACTCTCAACAGAGGAATCTAAAATGACTGAAAGACACTTGAGGAAATGTTCAACATCCTTAGCCAAAAAAGAATGGCCAAGACCAAAAACACTGATAACAACTTGTGCTGGAGAGAATGTGGGGTAAAGGGAACACTTCTGCATTGCTGGTGGGAGTGCAAACTAGTACAGCCCCTTTGGTTATCAGTATGGCGATTTCTCAGAAAAATTAGGAAACAACCTTACCTCAAGACCCAGTAGTACCACTTTTGGGTATATACACAAAGGATGCTCAATCATACCACAAGGACATGTGCTCAACTATGTTCATAGCAGCTTTGTTTGTCATAGCCAGAACCTGGAAACAACCTAAATGACCCTCATCTAAAGAATGGATAAGGAAAATGTGGTACATTTACACAATGGAGTATTATACAGTGGAAAAAGAATGACATCTTGAAGTTTGCAGGCAAATGGATGGATCTAGAAATTATCATACTGAGTGAGGTAACCCAAATCCAGAAAAATCCAGAAAGACAATTTCAATATGTACCCACTTATAAGTGACCTTTAGACATAAAGCAAAAAAAAAAAAAAAAAAAAAAAAAAAAAAAAAAAAAAAAAACCTACAATTCACAATCCTAGAGAACCTAGACAACAAAGAAACCCTAAGAGAGACATGCATGGATCTAATCGACATGGGAAGTAGAGAAAGACAAGATCTCCTGAGTAAATTGGAAGCATGGGGATCATGGGAGAGGGTAGAAGTGGAGGGGAGAGAAAGGAGGGGAGCTAAGAATAATATATAGCTCAATAAAAAGGATTAATTTTTTAAAAAAAAAAGATAAACAAAAACAAAAAGTTTATTTTTTAAAAAATATGTGTCTGTATGTGTGTGCACACACATATATACACATATATGTATTTGTTTATTTCTATATTTTGTGTATGAGAGTTTTAACTGTATGTATTCATGTGTATCGTGCACGAAGTACCTGTGGGGGCTAGAAGAAGGTGTCAAATGCCCTTGTACAGGAGTGAAGGCCGTTGTAAGCAGCCATGTGGGTGCTAGGACTGAAATCTGGGTAGCCCTCTGGAAGAGCAGTCAGTGCTCTTAACCACGGAGCCATTTTATCTTTTGCAACACTTGGGTCAGAGCACAGCTCTCACACACGCAAGGCGCGTGCTCTACCACCAAGCCACAGCCCCATCTTGTTTTCTGAGAACAGAATGCTCACGCTTGGCAGTGCCCATGACAGCAAGTGTCACCAATTCTGCTGTGGGACACCATTGCATGACTTTTAGCCCTCCTGCTGGGGACGACTGACTGGTGTGTCCAGACTTTCGACCTTTACCTCCATCACCTGTCTCAACGGCCCACTCTTCTCCCATAGACCTTGCACTTGAGTCACGTGGATCGTCTCTTCTTCCCGGCAACGTGCCAGGCTCTCAGGTGCGCCCTGTTCTCAGTGCAGTGTGACGCATGGCTCTTGCAGGTCCCGGCCGGGTGTAGCTTCCTCAGCAGTAAGACCTTCCTCAGAGAGGCTTCTGCTCACTCGTCTCGGCTCCCCTTGCCCTACAGTTGCTCTGGACGGCACCTTTTTCATGGCAGATAACTGTGTGCCTTTAAACTGTCCCAGTCCTCCTAGGATGCAAATGCTAAGAGAATCAGGTCCTTCCTTTCCACTGGGGTATTCCTTCACAGAACCCAGAAATGGGCAGATTCCCAATAAATATTCACTCAACTTCTGGATGATTCTTAACAACACAAAACAACCAGTTTAGCAAAACTGTGACAGACTCAAATGAGCAAGGCTCCGAGGTGTCGAGTAGCTATTGTTGTCCGTGCTGTTAAATGCTTCTTTTAACTTCCTAAAACATGCTGAGTTCAGAACGAGACAGATGCCAGGCTCATGGACATCGGGCCCTGGCACTGTGGCACTTACAATGGGAACATAGACCTGCTAACATCCAAAGAACGCTCTCAGGAGAGCTGTATTCGGGCTCATAGCTGCCGTAGGAGTGTAACACTGTGGCCAGTTGGCTCAGCATCATAGCATTGAGATGCCAGGGCTGGGAGGTGGACTGAAGCAGATCTTGGAGTCAGCCTGCCTAGCCTAACCGAAGAGCTCTAGATCCTGGCAAGAGAGTCTGCCTTAAACGTCAGTGTGAATGGTACCTGAAGGATGACATCCAAGGGTCTCCAGACAGACAGATGGCAGGCAGGCAAGTAGACAGACAAGTAGGCATCTCTCTCTCTCTCTCTCTCTCTCTCTCTCTCTCTCTCTCTCTCTCTCTCACACACACACACACACACACACACACATACACACAAAATGACTACTAACAAGACGCCCGATCACAGAGTTTGAACAGTTTTAAATATCCCCACAGAAAACCACTGTGAGGAATCCCAAACATGGATAAGGCCTCTAAGAGTCCAATTAAAAACTTGTGACAGAAATATCTGGAACTGTTCTTTGCTTTTATAACCACACATTCCAATTCAGTCAGAAGCCCAGGGGTCAGGAATGTCCAGTCATGAGTGCCTCGGAAATTTGCCAGGCCTATTGATGCTACCCTCATTATCTTTCTGCGAGTTTCAGAGAGCTCTGAAGCAAGGATCTGCTGAACTGACCTATGGGAGGACCGAAAGAGAAAGGTTAATGAAATTCCTAATTTAGCAAGACAAACAACCCCAGAAATAAAGCTTGCCCTCCAGGTTGAGAAAATCTTCTGAGGCCTGGAGCCACAAGGGGCACCCTAGCGAGCGACCTCACGCATAACAACAATAAGACCATTAAAAAAAAAAAAGAGGTTGGAAATGTGAGCTTTGCTACTTAAATGTGGGGATCATCAGAACCCCAACACCCACAGAAAAGCCAGGCACAGTTGAGCGTGTCTGCAAGCCCAGTGATGGAAGGCAAGAGACAGGCGGATCTAGACAGTGGCCAACTAGTCTAGCTGGAAATGGAACCCCACGTTTAGTAGTAGACTCTGTTTTAAAATAGCAGCGTGGAGAGTAGTGGACTCTAGGTGTCCACATGCACAGGCGTGAACACACACACACACACACACACACACACACACACACATGCAATACACCCAAACACGCGTGCATCTGCCACAATAGACGTTTACCTCACATTAGAGAGAGGGGAGAGGGGGAAGAAGAAGGGGGAAAGGGAGAGAAAAAAATCAGCAAAATCAGTCTATAGAAGCCCCAGGAAATTCTCCTGAGGGCTAAGGCAGGAGGAGGAAGCCTATGCAGTATCTCTCCACCCGTTTGCCCATTTCCAGATACTAGAGTTTCTGTTTTATTATCTAGTCTCCCTCTGACCCCTCCTGGGGTCACACGGGATGACTGCACCTGCTCGGAGGCTCTTCCAAAATGGAGCTTTGCTCAGTAATTGCTTTTCTGTTGGGATGGGGGAGGCAGCATCTGACCCGAGCTGTCATTTTCTCAGAAACAGGTTAAAGTTAAGCACATGATTAAGGGGAGAAAAAGGAATCTTAATTGCAAGGAGGAGAAAGAAAGAAGTTTCAAATCTGCCTGACCTCTTGATAATGCTAAGGTGAAGCCGGGGTAACAGTTGGACATCTCACAGGGGAGTTCGAGGCAGAAAGTAATGAAATATGACCGGGAGTGCTTTAGATTCACAAAGACCTAATTAAGTCTAAGGATCAGTAATAAAAACCTAAGATTATGCACACCGCTCCTCCAGCCCTGTGGTTCAAAGCCTGCATGCCGCTCAACCCCTGGCACCACGACTCAATGCAGACGCAATTAGCATTTGGCCAAGGGCTCTAAAGCGGCAAGAGTTTAAGACGCCCTCACGCTAGAGGTGGCCTTTTGTTTTTGTAGTGCTGGGGAGGGGACCCAGGGCCTTGTATGCCAGGCAAATACTCAACCACTGAACCAAGTTGCCTAAGGAACTTAGTTAACAGCAGCTGGGTTGGAGCCATGACTCAGTAGGTAGGTGGAGGCGTACCAAGCAAGGTTATCTGGGTTCCCTCCCCGCATACTGTATAAAGAGGGCACGGCAGTGCAAACCTGTAATCTCAGTTCTCTGGCGGTAGAGCTAGGAGATTCGGGCAAAAGAGGTTAAAGCCAATCTGTAAAAAACAAATAAATAAACAACCCCCCTCCCCCCCAAAAAACTGTTTTCATAGAGCTAAAGCACCCACCTGTTATCCCAGCCAGAGGCAGGGGGATCACCACTTCAGGTTCGTCCCTGGCTATAGAGATGACTGTATCTCAAAAAATTCCTGGGCTCAAGAGACTGTGCCTCAAAAAGTGTAACACTGCCCCAATTCATTATAAGGGAAATTAAAACACTTCCAGGGGGTGCGACCTTATAATTAGGTGTCTTTGGTTTTTTAAAAAAGTACTCATCAGAAGGAAATGTCCTTATGGTCCTGGGTCCTGGGTCCTGGGAATCACGTGAGATGACAGGGCTTATGAGCTGGTGCTGTCTGTGTCCCATGAGAGGTGCAAAAAGGCTGTATTTGTGGCTACTCTAATGTAATACGGATGAAGATGTAGCTGTCAGTAAAAGAGAGGTGAGGCGTAGACTCTAAAGGTCAGGACAGATAGCACCGCATGTGGTGGATGCTGGCGGGCAGGTGGGCATCACCTGATGTGGGTCAGTTCTTCTGGTCCAACCGCCAGCCCACACTTCCCTTACCTAGATATCTGTTACACAAAAGGCCCTCATAATTCTTTCTATTGCTGCCCTAAAGGAATGAAATGACGTGTCTTTTATTTGGACGCGTTTCTGCATGTGGAGGTCTGAGCCATCCCTCCACCCTCCTCCCCTGCTTCTTTACTTTTTATTATTTTTAAAAAAAGGGACACGACGGTGCATGCCTGTGAGTTTCTGCCACCTATGTGCAGGTGCCCGTGGACCTCCTGCATCTGGAGTTACAGGGGTTGTGAGCCACCAGATGTAGGTTCTGGGCACTGAACCCAGGTCCTCTGGGAAGAGGAGTATGTGCCCTAACTGCTGAGCCATCTCCAGCCCCAGTTCTCCTCCCACCCATGTTTTTTAGACAGGATCTCTCAAGGGCTGGACTTAGTGATTTGGCTTGTCTGGCTACCCAGTGAGCCCCAAGAATCCATCTGTCTCCATCTCCCCAGGACTAGGATTTCACACATGTACCACCATAGCTAGCATCCGTCTGAGGTCTTTATGCTTGTATAACAGGCATTTTTTGGCAAGTGCCTTACTGATTGAGCCATCTTCCTATCCCCCAAACCATTTTATAATTGCTATTACCGATCTGCTTTTCAAATTACCCTGGAAACCCTATGTGAATGTAGACTCCTTCTCTAGAACCATCTTCAGGGACGAGGAGAATCTAGAAGACTGGAGATCAATAATCTAGACGGAGTGAACATACCCCACAGCTTTTCAAATAGCCTTCGTCCTCTCTGCTACTCTCGTGCCTCTTTCCATCCCGAAGTCAGCGTGGCTGCTACTCTGTTCTACCGCAGCGGTGTTTCCTGCCATTTTGTGAGCCCTTATCATGCCAGGCACTGTATTACAACTTGCTTATAAATTTTGTTACTGAGCGCCCATCACTGCCCTAAAGAGACAGTACTAATTAGCAGGCACCATTTTGCAGACAGAATGATCAACTCCAAGTTCCATAGGTGGTGCGTGGATACAGGTGTATCCACTGAGCCCAACGACCGTCTGACTCCATTACTCATGGCTCAACCACAGCAGCCCCAGGGGGCTGGGCAGAGTCCATGACCTGGAGCAATAGGTATAGAGTCCACGTTAATCTGAACTGTGTGTGATTTCACAACCAGCACCTTCTGCAACGGTTCAGGAGGGCAAAGGAGAAGCTGCCTCATCTCCTCCTAGGAAGTGGGATGCACGACACACAGCATTAAAGTTCTGATTCTGGGAGTCATAGGTCCTGGATTTAGATCTACCATCCGCTGCTTGTGGGACCCTGAATCCTAGCCTCCTCCTCCCTACAATGAAAATCACAGCAACTATGGCTACACGCGTTGTTTAGTATAGGCCAGAACTTTTAAAGGCGTACCACTGATGCTCCGGCGCAGTCCTGAGGCCACAATTAGACTCATCTGATTCCCAGAGATGAGGAAAACAGTTCTGATACCATACTCACAAATCCAGAGCTTGAATCAGTCCCGCCGACTCTGACCTCAATGCATAGGGCCCAGCGTTGGTGCTGGGACAAGCCCTGCCCACTTCATCCTTCCAGTGGTCCCTTTTGCATATGACTCACACGCCTGGCTTAGCACATACCTAATATGTCTCTTCTTATAACAATAAATCTTTGTAATTGGAACCTCAGTTTGCCACTGTAACTGGGAGATCCAGATCACTTGTCACAAAGAGCTAGTGTCTCCCCCATCCAAGTGACGTGAAAGAAAGCCTTGACTTGATTCTGGCTCGGTACCCGTGGGAGGCTTTCTGCATGGGGCCTACTGTCTGTACAATTAGATCAAAAAGCTGAGGAGGGGACCTGGTGTCTACGAACTTGACATTCTAGATGGCTCAGCTGCACGAGCACCTGAGAAACAGAGAAGATCATGTCCCTGCCATCTAGGTTGGTGCTACTCACAACCATATCCCAGAGATGTCACTTGTCACCCTCCACAGCCACTTGTCACCATCAGCAGGCACCGGTCACCCTCAACCGTCAGCTATCACCTGCAAGTACTGCTTGTAACTCTCAAATGCCACCTGTCACCCTCAACTGTCACCTTCAGCTTCAGTCACCCTCGGCTGGCTGCCACCTGTTACCCAGCAGTCTCCTGTCACGAGCCCAGTCAAAGTCCATTTAGGACTGCCCTGCCACACCAGAAGAGGGTGACCACAGCCCTTGCGACCCCGGTTCACTCACAGAGGCAGACGACAGCGTGACCTGTAGATGCAGGATGGACGAGAGAGCCAACTCAGCCTCTGGTGCCTTGCTGTCCCTGGCTCTGGGGCAAAAGCTGTCAAACTGGCTCCTGAAGACACTTCCGGGTTTATCTAGGAAACCTGGAGGTCCAGGCTTCTCTATGATGAGCCTGCTGATCCTTATCTGTGCAGCAGCCGCAGCAGCAGCAGCAGCTCGCTCCGCAAATCTTCCCAATTTCCCAGCCAGTGTGCTCCAGAGTCCTTCAAGAGGGTCATCTAAACTCCTCTCCCTACCTCCACTCTGCTTCCAGGCTTTCACCTCTTTGTGTACCCCCACTAACGAGTATAGACTGATGAAAGACGGGGTTTGGCTCAGTCAGTTTCCTTGGGGGGGATGAAAAGATGGGTGGGCAGGCGACTAGATAGATGTGTGGATGCATGGATAAATGCGGGAATGGACAGGTGGGTGGGTGTGTAGATGGGTGGGTATGTGAATGGGTGAACGGGTACGTGGGTGGACAGAAAGAGAGGTGGGCGGATGGATGTGGAGGTAAACAAGTGCATGGCTGAGTGGGCGGGTTGGCGGAGAGGTGCGTGTATGGATAGATGGGTGCGTAAACGCGTGGATGGATGTGTGGGTGGATGGGTTGATGGACACCTGTGTAGGAAATGAATGGGCGATGGATGGAGGTCTGTAAAGCAACCGAACATTCACTCTGCAAGTATCTTTAAAAATATTTTATTTTATGTGCACGACTGTTTTGCCTTTCGTGTTTGTGCGCCACATGCCTGCCTGGTGCCCCAGGAAGTCAAAAGAAGACCTCAGATCTCCTAGAACTGAAGTTATAGGGAGTTGTGGGCCACCATGTAGGTGCTGGAA